TGTGGTAGTGAGTGGTGAGATGGCTGGGGGGGTGTGGGACAGACAGGATGTAGGAAAGTCAGCAGCTCAGCATTAGTCAGTTTATTCGTCACCGTCAGATCAGATGCTTAAAAGAGCACGTCTCTCATTTACTTGATCATGTAAGTTTGTAAGAGATCTTGTATCTGGTGTCATAGATTTCGAATTATAATTGGGGAGATATAACAGAACCAATAGGACCCCTGGGAATGGGGACCCGCTTATTTAGTTTATACTTTATCTCTTCTCTAATGGCAACTATAGTACGGTACTCATCAAAAGTGATGTAATCATCACCATCAGAGTTCATAAGTGTGGCGTGCCAGTCTCATCGCACTGGTCGATGATGTAATCTATGGCAAATCGTAATATATCACCAACTGGACAAATTGTGGTCATTACAATGATAGAATGTTTGCTACCGCCACGAGTATAATAGAGATTACAGATCAATGTCCTCATCCTGCGTAAGTATATCCGACATGGTCTTGCATGGGCATACGATACAAAGTAAGAGGATCGGCGTCAGAGGGGGCCTTACCTTTTGCAAAAGTGGGCCCACAACAGCACTCAAGGTCTTTATCGAAGGAGTGACAAATCCATCCTTGTCTGTGTCAATCCGATCCACCTCTCAAATCTGCTCATTGATGACCCGACAGGTGGGACACAGACGAACGGTGCGGAGTGAGGCGAAGATGTCGTTAGGTCTTCTAACAGCCATCTGGGCACAAGATATGGGATAAGAATATCTACTGTCAGATTACCCCATCAGTGTCGCGAACACGCAAGACACAGGACATACAGTCTGCATAGAATGAGTAGTACTTAGCCGCATTCTCTAAGCACAAACTGTACCACAGTCGTGCTGTGATATGCTCTATTTACCTGCATCGGTGTCAGTTTGTCAAACTTGGCTGATTCAATCTCCTCCAGGAAGCTTCCTGGTCTAAAATCTAGAGCAGTTATGCTCTCCCAGTGAGGGCTCGCACGTCTCTCCTTAGTATCTGCATGGGCGACAGATATTGTATAATTGTTCCTCTAGTTTTGTATGTGATACCAGATGTAGTAAATGTATGCGTGCATGATCTTGCGTGTGTGCTATGGATAATATACATGAAGTGGGCAATGGAAACATGCTGCATCTCTATAATAGTCATTTTGGCCGCAGTAGAGGACATTATATTACAATTATGAGAACACTAGGTGAAAAATTGAAGAAACCCCCGTCAATTATATATATGCAGCAGCGACGCGCGCAAAGCCGAAAGCGACTATTACCTACCTGTCGGTCCGGCACTAACGGAGAGAACACCAACGAGAACGAGGAGCAAAGTCACCATTGTTACACTACGGCGGTCGTAGTCAGTGACGTATATTATTAGTCTAACCCAGAAAGCCTCTTGACCTCTTTATTCCGGCGAAAGCACTTATTCTCCGCGCTTATATATATACCCGCCGCAGTCGAAGACAAAGAAGCGGTCGCATTGTGCGCGTGCGTGCGCGGAGCCATCGCCGAATGCCACGTTGACAGCCACGTCAAAAACTCGTACGCATGCGCACTGCAACATGGGAAGAGAACAAAAAATAATCTTACAACAGAGGAAAAATATGAGGGGTGAGGGAGATTTGGGTATGAAAACTACTCGACAACCACCATCTCCTCTACATTGGTAGTCACGTCCACAGCCTGATGGCACCGCTGCTGGACGTATGACCGGGCGAACCCATTGTAGCGAAACGTCAACTTCTTCCCCTCCACTTTCTCTATGATTCCCTTTGAGTAGTAGTAGCGAAGGCCTCGGGCCAGCTTGCCATAGTTCATGGCCGAGTTTTTGGTGCACTTGCCCCAGAGCTGTGCGACCTCGGCGGGGCGGTGGATGGTGAACTCGTAGTCCTCCGGTGAGCAGTCAGTCCACTGGATGAGGTGGGAGCAGTTGGCAGCCAGCAGGAGGTCCAGCAGGAACTGCCACAACTGGGGGGGCGGCTGGCTGGAGTAGTCTGTATGGCATGGTGGGGGGGAAAAGGTGAGGAGACAATGAATAAACAGAAAAACACTTTCGAACAACATAATAATATACGAGTTGCTTCTGCTCCGTATATAACATGCAATAGTTTGAGCTGTAAATAAACTATCATGGGATTGAAACCAACTATGGTCGCATTCGTTTTGGAACACTATAAAAGGTTCACTGATCTCTCAAGGGACATTCCACTCACTCTAGGACCTTCACCTGACAAAGAAGAAACGAAACAATACTCACACCATGTGACACAACCAAATGCGTGACTTTCTACATGACTATTTTGCATGTTAGTGTACACAGCCCATTACCGTGAATGACTGGTAGCATGTGGAATGTCCCTGGAGATTTCCGAAAGTATATAGCGACTGCTAACTGAGCTCGAAATATGCAATTTAGGAGAGCACACTCCATGGGAATTGGCTTACGTTTCAATATTACGAGTTAGATGTGATCAAGTGCTTGCTCACCAGAAGAAGGAGAGGAGGCAGAGCTATCTCCAGTACTGTCAGTGACCCGGCCACCGTCGGAGCCTGGACTGGCTGGAGGCTGCAGGAGACACTGCTCCAGAGGAGAGGCCGGCTTGTGGGGGTGGGAGTGGCGGGAGAGTGGGGAGGAGGGAGGGTAGTGACGACTGTGATGGAGGGTGTGTGCAGAGGAGGAGCTCGTGTGGTGGTGGGAGGAGCTGTGTGCGTAGTGATGGCGGTGCCTGTGGTTATGGTGGTTATGGTGATGGTTGCTCAAAGTGTGCAGAGGGGAAGAGGAGGAGTGATGTGAAGAGTGGTATTCGTGTGATGCGGTGATGTGTGAGGATGTGAGGGGTGGAGGAGAGATGGAGTTGCAAAGATGCTCGGGCATGTCGGTGCAGCAAATCTTTGAGTCAGGTGGGGAGCTAGCATTGGTAAGGTCAGAGGGCGGCTGGAGAAGAGTCGAAAGCTTCTCAGGAAAGGAGTTCTTCCGTTTGCGTGAGCCGATGAAGGTGCCAACCAGCTGGTGGGGAGACTGTTTCCCTGCCTCCATATCTGACTCGGTGACCACTGGTGACTGCTTGCTCGTCGGTGCCAGGAGGCTGCTGAATGGAGGCTTGATGTTGGGAGCCACATCGTTAGTGGTAGATAGTGGGGGGCTACTCCCAAATGTTGCGGTGGTAGCGCCAGAGGATAGAAGCATCATCCCCTGGTGTTGCCCGGCGGTGAGGGCAGTGGGTGGCATGATGTAGGCTGCAGCTGGATGACCAGTTGTGTGGGCAGTGGTGGGGATGGTGGCATAGCCCCCCATGAAGGCGTACGGGGAGATGAAGGGTGTAGGGACGAGGACTGGCGTGGGGGTGAGACCATTACTCGGGAGCTGGTACATGAGTTGTGTGGATGAGAACCCATTGAGGCCAGGTCCCGCAGCAGTCACAAAGGCCTGGGGAACAGCAGCGGCTGTGAGGGAGGACCCTACCGTTGAAGAGGCTAGCGAGGCGTAGAGCTGACCGGACACCAGCTTGGCCGTGCTCATGAGGTGGAGCTCGTTCTGCATGCCCCCGACCACCTTCTCTCGCTGCTGCTGTTGCTGGTGGAGGAAGTACTCCCTCTGCATCCGCAGGAGTCTCTTTTGCCGCCAGACCTGAATCTTGCGATCGATGACGGAGCCGTACGTCTTGATCCACTGGAGGTTCTCGTCCAGGAAAAGCTGTCTCCTCCTCGTCTTGTCCCTGTGCTGGAGATATGACCCTGGGTCTGAGTTGCGTCTGTGGGCCAGTAGATTTAACTTGTCGGCGTCATCGGTGTCGTTCATCGACAACTTCTTGGCCCGGAGAAGGTTGAGGAGCATCTTTGGAGCCACCAGCCTAGAGATGGGGTTCTGGACATGCTTGAACTTGTCCGACAGGAGGGCGCGTTTGATAGCCACGTAGGAAGGTATTTGGGAGGTGCCGTCAGGGGAAGAGGTTTGGAGACGCTCTGCAAAGAGAGCCAGGGTGTTTCCGGCCTCGCCACACTTGATTGGCGGGAGACTCCCTCGCCTGGCATACTTGCTGCTGGCACCAACGTGTGAGGCGACACCAAACATCACTCCCGGGTCCTCGCAAGTCTTGGATGAAAAGAGAGCACCGTAGCCATCCGGTGTGTGGTGAGTGGTGCGTTTCTTGACAACCTTGTATCGCTGGATGATCTTCCCGGCGGTGTGGTGTTGGGTTGGGTGAGACTCCCGCCTCTCGCCACCTGTCTGAGGAGAGGGTGAGGGAGAGAGCTTGGGGCCAGGGGAGGAGGATTGAACGTCCCCACACAGGCTACTGGTTCCCAGACTGGAGACGTTTGATGGTGAAATTGTGCCACTGCCAGTGCTTTGTCGGGGAGACGCAGCCAGTGAGCTGTTGACGTTCTCAGGACTCCCAGTTCCAGCTGTGCTGTGTCCTGCAGAAGTAGGAAAGGTGAACCTCAAAGGCCGAATCAGGTACCGTGTGACAGCACACAATGTCTCGAAATTCACTCAGACGTACACCCTATTAGCCTAATAGGTGTAATTACACACACAGGTTGACATGCAGGTAAGTGGCTTTGCTTCTCATGGTATGGGATGAGCCTGTGTCCCTGATATAACCATAGTCTGGTAGTACTGTATACACACCATGGGATGGCATTTGTTGCCCACAAGCAACCTACTTGCACCAGGATGTTTTGCATTTACTTGGGTGGCCACACACTATGGGATGCACATACTACAGTCTTCCTTTGCTAATTATGAGGGTGATGCATTAATTGGGGGGGACAAGGGCACTACGCAAACTACCCAGAGTTCATTAATTTTCTTTTGGCCATCTAATACCCACCCACTCTAGTACAAATACAGCTATAGCTAAGTGCAGTTTCCTAGTTATTTTCCAACACAAGTGCACTGACCTGTAGTGAGGACAGTGGCTGGATCTCGTAGCCAGAGGAAGATATCACCGTGCAGAGCAAGGCCCAGGAGCCCGGAGGAGAGGAGGGCTTCTCGAGAGGTGGCCAGGAGCCAGTGCCACAGCTCTCGCAGACTGGACGAGGACACTCGCAGGAGGACAGAGTAAACAGAGGCCTCTCCGTAGGTGGCACTGTTGACAAGGGCAAAGTTGACTCCGGGAGCATTGAAAATCATGTGGGACACATCCCTCGCCCCTGTCTGGCTGGAAACCAGGAGACACACTTCCTTGTGTTGGTGATTGCTCCCATTGCATGGCACAGAGGGTAGGCTGACTTGTTTCCCTACATTGATTGGACACACAAACGGTAAAAAATTTTTCTGTTGAAGGAAACATAAAACCCTAATTGGTATTCATTACACACACGCTTCCGCACTTGGTGGCCACGCACTAGCGCCCCAGGGGCCATTACAACTTACACAGGTCGATGGTGCTGTTGCCCATGGGATACACGGCGGGGAATGGTGACGGTGTTTGCACGGGGAGGCCGGGCGACAGGTCTGACCATTCCCCAGCGGCGTTGAACACGACCGCATCTCCCCTCTCCACCGTTGTCTCGCTCAAGAATCGCCTGCAGAAGTTCGCGAGAAGCGGGTCGCTAGCCGGCATCGCCCAGTCTTTCCCGAGAAGAACGATGCTGCGACGGCACAGCACTCGCTTCAGCTTCTCCATCGCTGCATTCAGCGGATGGTTCCCTCCTGTAGTGTCGTAGAGCTGACCGTCTAGCTGGACCGAGTCTGGCTCCGAATAGATGCCGTGTGGCTGGAGGATCCCCACCCGTTCTCCCGCGGCCCACCGCTCCACGTCGTCCAGTAGCACGGGCTCCTGCCCGGAGACATGCGCCAATATCTTGTCGCAGTGTACGTACAAGAGCAGGGCTCCTCGGCTCTGCAGGGCGAGCAGGTTCTGCAGACTCACGGAGCTCCCTCTGCTGCCGGCATTCGGCGGGAAGCGACACTCGAACAGCTCCGCCAGCCACTCTCCGTAGCAGCCAGCGCCGCGTAGGCTGCTCGTTATCTTACGGAGGACGAAGACGGGGTCCAGCTCGTACGCGTTGCTGTAGCGAGCCTCGAATTTTGCTCTCGCAGCTTCATCCGCGAAACTCTCTTTCTCCAGTAGATAAGAGACGCCGCAGTCCACTATACTCCTGAAATCGAACGTTGGTAGGTCTGCCCTTTCTTCAGCAGCGCAGTGCAGCAACTCTCTGACGACCTGGGTCGCAAACTGCGGTCCGACAACTACGGCGAAGCGATCTGGCTGGATTTCCAATCGCGAATCCATCTTTAGAGAAAGAACTACTAGCTAAAGTGAATATGGATATTCCCACTCGGCTACAGAAGTAGCTAGCAGCATACACTGCTGCAGTAAAAATTCTTTCAGCGTAAATACAGACCGCGGGCAAAGCCGCTAACAGGAAGTAAACGATGCAACATCAGGCCAATCAGATGACAGTACATCCAAAGGTCAAGACCCTGAGGAGGCGGGTTACGACCCCTGACCTTCGCCTTTGCACCCCCGACCGCGTCAAAATGGAGAGGCGTTTGCGTGTTGGCAGTACACATACGGCTGCAGTGAGTGCCCTCACTTACCAGCCAGTGCGTAGGGAACTGATTACAGGCCACGAAGGTTAGGACCTGATCTGTAAAGCCTTGCGCCGGCACCGTGCGTCTGTGTGTGCGTAACTAGCTAGCAAGCCTCCTGGCTAGGACGCAGCACTAACGGGCTTGTTTTTCATGTAAAGTGTATGTACCATCGCACACTGCAGATGGTAGCCTCAAGTTCTGGGAGGGAGACACGGGGAAACACGCGGAAACCGTGCAGCATCACAAGGGATGGATATCAGACCTTTACTACTGGTGTGTCCTGTGTGTGTCCTGTGTGTGTGTGGTGTGTGTTTACGTTCCCAGGCTGCTGACCCCTCACAGTAGTCGTTTAGCTCAGTGCTCAGGCATGTAAACTTTTACCCACACTTTTCGAGTGCTGTATTAGTACTCTATACTGGCGTGTGTGGGGTTCACTTCCTCTTATATAGAGTGACCTGTGCCCTGACCTACACCTTGCTACGTGCACCCATCTTCCTCGCATAACCATTGTGCTAATACAAACCATAATATAAAGGACAGTGTGGGAATGTGTTGGGAAATAGACTCGTGCTGCTGCGTGGGGTGGTTGCTACTCTGACCTATGCCCATTCCGAGCAGCAGTGAGAAAGGGCAGTTGTGGCAAGAGGCTCTCAAGGCATTGAGCCAGCTGATGTTGGGCAGTGTCTCTTGGCTAATGTGTGTACCTGCGCACTTGGTATGGTGGTGGGAGGAATTTGTTCCTGGAAATCTGCTCTGGCAGAGTGGCAATATGCCTTTTTCTTGTCAAAGTGTTTGGCTGGCCTGTGTGGGTAAGCCCCTTTCATCCCAACGGCAAATTATGCATTAGGAGCTATTGTATTTGTAGTGCGGTGTGTTTGTGCACGTAAGTGCACGTGTCCACAGCATATTCCCCCTAATATGCGTGGTTGTTGTGTGCAGTTTCACTGTGTGTATAGTAATGTAGAGGTGTGTGGGTGGTGTTCCATTATTTCAGGCACGAGGGGAAGATTCTGTTCTCGTGTTCCGTGGACGGTCAGGTGGTCCTGTGGTCATCGTCCAACCAGCCCTATGACATCATCCAGGTGAGACACACTCCACCAACTCTCAGCCCCACCTTTAAGATTGTATGGACCGTATGACATTAGGGTCTTTTCAAAGGGGGTAGGTGGAGGGGAGGGCAAGGGGTGCCCTTCTCCTAAAATTGTTTTGCCCCCTAACTATGGTTCAAATTAAGTGAGGCAGTGTGATCCAGGTTAACTTGTGCCCCCTATATTTCACAATTCCTCGCAGGAAATCACAGACTATAATTGTAGCGTACTATGTATATATGCAGGTAGGAGAGCCTGTGTTCTGCCTGGCCTGGCTGTCGAGGAAGAGTCTACTGCTGTTTGGGTCAGGGAAAGGGCTGGGTGCTCTCAGGAAATCTGGTAGGCATAATAGGCATGGTCAAATACAGTAGCATCTCACCTTAGCAGTTGTTATGGTTGCCTGGGTCACTCTGGTCAAGATGGATGTTTTGTCAACACTCTGACTCTGGCCATGTGCTGATCACCTGCAATTGCAAACCAACAGTCCATAATTGACAAACACAACCACAACTGTCTTTAAGCCTTACATGTATAGATCGTACACTTACGCCTGAGAGGGTTTGTGCTATGTGATATTTGATTGGTCAATGAGTGGGGACTCCTGTAATTATGCTCCAATTAACCTACATATTTTTCCTGAAAAGCTCATTCCTGTGCTCACACAAGGGAATTGCTCTTACTGCTGCATATACCTCATTTGTTTCATGATGACAGGGAAATACAACAGCAATAAACTGCAGTAGTGGGGGTGGGAAAGTTAATTTGTGCCATATTATGTGAAACTTCACTGGGACAAGCAATCCACAAATTAATTTCTCTGCATTTCTTCATGTGCTACACAATAGCTATCTTCCTTGAGAATTTCTAAGCTCCCATATGCACTACTACTGGCTTACAGTCGTGCAGGAGATGGCGTCACGAAGGGGCTTTGCATTTTCTACCTCCAGTGAGTGTCAAAGGTTGGATTTGTCTGCTAAGTATGTGAGAGAGCCTTGAAGGCAGAGAGACACAGCAGCCTGTTCTCAAACAAACTGTTGACATTTTCCTGGAAATCCTATGCCTGCTGAGTGTGTGCCTTCCGCTTGTCTGTGTGTGTGTGTTTGTCTGTGTATGTATATGGCTGTGTTGGACAGGACGACAAACAACCCCAGCAGTGTGTGACCTCCATCCAGGCAGTGTGTGACCTCTATCTAGGCAGTGTGTGACCTCTATCTAGGCAGTGTGTGACCTCTATCCAGGCAGTGTGTGACCTCTATCTAGGCAGTGTGTGACCTCTATCTGCCAGATGGCCTCTCCTATGTGTGACTAATTCGGCAGGAGAACAACCACACCGTAGTGGTCATCACCGCTGTGCTGTGGTGTGTGCACTTTTAAAAAATTGTGTGTGTGCACCTAGTGTGTGATATGGGGCATCTTATAGCGCTTTGTAGGTGAAACATGAGTATAGCGATGTGGTGACTGTATGTTTACCCTGGCAGTTCCAGAGGGCGAAACCCTCTGTTTGGATGACCATATGTGGCTGGGAATCACAGTGCACGGATAGGAAGTTACAGTAAGAAAACCCTGCTCTGCAGCTTCCAGGGGTTAATCTTCTGTTTTCCCAGAGACTGTCCCTCTCCATAGAGATCACAGGCATTCTTTCTGCTTCAGGTCTTTAGTGTGGTTGATTGGTGAGGGTCTGGGTGAGTCCTGTAGCAGGTGAGCTCACCCTTCAGCCTGTACCCACCCCTGTGTGTCCCTAGTGAGGTAGTGGTGACTTCAGCCTGCTACAAAACGCATCCTTTTGGCCGTGACTCCTTGCCCTGTTCCACTATCTGTTCGCCCATCTAGTGAAAAACATCATGAGTTTTAAATCATCTTGTATTCACCGTTGTATGACCCCCAGCCTGGCACTGTCTGTTTGTCGCTATCTCCAGTGGTATTGAAGGGCTGGCGTTGGCATGTTGCCGGGGACCAAATTCATCCTCTCACTCTTGTTCATTGATTCTGTTGGCCAATGGCTCAATTCAGTAGTGCCTGTTGGTACGTGTGTGTGTGTGTGTGTGTGTGTGTGTGTGTGCCGTGTCATTCCTGGAGTTGTGTCAGTACACTGGTGAAGGTACGCAATGTTTGGAGTCTTCAAACATGGTCAGCTGCTGACCTGTGCTACATGTATAGGTGGGGTCTGGAATGCCATCGCGAGCGGCCAACCACCATACCATTGGCATGGGGTCTTTGACATTGGTAGAAGTGTTCCATGCTGTTCCCTTGGGCATGAGCGTGTCACGTAGCTGTGCAGCAAGCCTTCCTTATATAGTGCACTTTTCACTTGTTTGGATGAACAAAATGCTAATTCTTATAGAATATCCATCTCTAGGTAGCTACTCTGGGTCAATGCTTTATTAACTCTTGCGTGTGTATGGTTCACTGGCAAAGCATTGAACTACATGGATGCTAGGCAATAAGGAGCAAAATCATACTGTTGGAGGCCAGGGCTGCATACTCCTCCATAGCTGCTTGTTCCCAGATGGGGTGGAGATAATATGGTGGTATATATACCTCTGTGATGGGTGACTAGGGCAGCTATCCCTGCAAGAGTTTCTTTGGCGTAGTAAAAAACAGCTGAAAGGGAACTTAACAATGCTGCCAAAAAAACACCTGGGTGTTTGAACACCCTCACAAAGAGCTCAGCCTGCTGTTCTTTTAGCCCCAGGGTATTCTGGGGTCAGGTGATATTCTCTGGGCAGTATAGTATTCCCCTTGAGGGAAATTTTAGCTTTGCTGTGGTTGCTGAGTGGCCTGTGTCTCATGTAGTGGGTATATACTTCTATGAGACACACTTCACCTTGGCTCAAAACCTTTAACAAAGCAGTATGTATGGTATGTGTATAGGCAGTACACCACACACCAAACACAAGGCACATGAAAGTAACACAGATAACCAGCCAACACAGTTGTCAGTTGTGAGCTGGGCCACCACCCCTTCATCATGCCTAACTAGGCACACAAACTCCTGCCTGAAGTGACTATGGTACCTACTTGTCCAGGGGTAGAATTTCTGTTGAAGATAAAAGAAGGGCAAGGGAACTATGCAATGTTGCAGAAATAACACGCCTGCCTTATTGAGCTGTCCCCCTTGCCTTAGGGTATATACCCATAGTCAGGTGATAGTGTTGTAGGCAGTTATAGCTGTGGTGGTAATGAGCGGCATGTGTCTTTGAACTAACATATAAATTGATGGCACTAAGCTGCCATGATACTTTATAGTGTAAACTCTTGCCAGTGTTGTATACTCTCCCAAAAATGGATTTTATGGCTGTAGAAACATGAAACTTCACTGACCATGGCAGGCAACACACCTCACTCATACAACTCACCCCTAGGGCCCTCCCTGATTAGTGACTCTTGCCATGTGCCCTGCTCAAGAATTTGCTTTGAAGATAAAAGAACACGGAACAATGCAACCCTGCAGAAAAACAAAGGCTGCATTATGATTGCCCCATAACTGGTCTTGTGGCCTTTGGAGACAGGTGTCTGGTGGTGGCTGTCCGTAATATTGGTGAACGGAATCGAACTAATATATCTCTGGAAAATTTTCCATTTTATCTGCCTGTAACAACCAAACACGTTCGTTGCCGTAATGTTTTATGTTATTCCAAATACATCATGAAATTTCGCTAATGCATGTGTGCAGCTAGTGCTCTCTCTCTCTCTCTCTGTCTGTCTGTCACGGATTCCGCGAGGTCATTAGTACCGCATGTACAGCGGGGCGAAGCTCCTCTACAACTACAAGTACAACAATGCGAGGTAACTGAGAAATAGCGGGGAATTCTCGCACTTCGAAGAGCGTGGAAGTCTGCGAGCCATGTCAACGGCAATGGCTTCCACGCACCTGGATGAGTCAAACTTGCTATTCTGTATCACTGCTATATATGTACATGGCTACTCGTTTGATAATTATGTATCATTTAAATGATGACGTAAAGCATATAACCAGCTCAATTTCCCACAGTTTGGTCGCTCCCGCTCGCCATAAATGTCTTACATTCATCTAGTAATCAGGGTTGAAAACTATCCTGTCCTTCATTGTAGCTAATCCAAACCAACAAATTAGCTGTCTCTTGAAGAATGAAGACTGTACACCAAGTGAATTGGGCAGCGTGCATTGTGTATTAACCATGACCCATGCCATGACTTGCGTGTGGTATAAACCGCAGTATTATTAACAGTAATGACATTTTTGCAGGGAAGTTGGCTGCCAACGGCCTCTCACTGCTATCCCACAGAGGTAGGTACAGCCTAGCCTTACACAAATTTCTAAAGTGACATCACACACCTGATATCATTTTGTTGAATGTATAATGAGTAGCTCTGTAATGAATACGAGGTGCATGTTGCCAAGCATGCTGGTGGATTATACACCCATGTGTATGTGTATGTGTGTGCTTGTGTGTGTATGCATGTATGGAGAGGGATATTCATGGTCTGTGTGTGCGTGTCTAACTCCAAACTAGCCACCAGGTGCACTATGAATGGAGTAACCTCAGCTGCACTATTACACTCATTACACTGTCCACATCCACACACAATGGGCTATGACAAAGTGTGCTTGATTCTACAATTAAACTTGCATTATTGTTGCTTTTGCCCATGGGAGAGTGCTGACCAACTGTGCATACTTATCTTTGGAGTTTTGTTTTCCTGACCTGTATGTACATATATACAGTTGCTTGGGTTCCCGGCCACACTGGAATAGTTCGCTGTCTCAACATTGCTGGGAACAAGATCTACAGTGGAGGGTCAGTACACCACTGAATGCTCTGTGTAAATATGTACCCCAGCAAACTTTCTATTGACAATAACGTGTGTGCTCCTATGCTAATTAGTCACTGAATGAGGCGAATGTAGATGTACAAAACGATGGGACTTGGGGGCGCCTTCCACTGAGATAAGCACTGCAGTTCAGTGCCCAGGAACATATTATGTGTATAAACACAGATATGACAAGAAACTGGTGGTTCAAGAGGTGGTTTCTTTGTCAGGAGATGGAGAGATCCCACTGAAGATTGTCCGAGAGTGAGTTCATTGTGCCCTTCATTGTTAGCCTGCCCAGTGTTTTCAGTAATTATCCCTTACATACTATCATCTATCTATGTATCTATCTATCTATATACCTATGCTATAAACTATAATTTCATACTTGTACTTGACTGCATTCCTGCCTGCCTCTACAGTACACACAGTACAAGTAGGTGGTAGATATACACCGAGCAGAAATCATTGTGTGAGACTCTGCCATGTGAATCCATGTGTATGTACAATGTGATGTGTATATACATTGATTTATAAACCCAGACATCTATGGTTTCATTCATAATAGGAGGGATGCTGCCCATGATGCTGGTGTCACTTGTCTTACTGTGGCCAAGGACACTGATGGTAGCTCTTGGTAGGTCCCCTCACTCCCTACATCATTAATTGCTCATTTGCAGTTAGACTGAAAGACTGCTCAAATTCTTTTGACAAAGGCTGTAGATGTTTCATTTGGTGTTGGGCTACCCTGCAAGTGTAAACTTGTGTGTTGGTGCTGGCTGGCTTTACCCTCACACAAATACTTTACTTGGTTTAAGTCAGTAAGCTGTGGGTAATGTAATGGTTGCCGATTGGCCAGAAACACACTTTTGTTGGGTACATTTGCAACAGCAGGTTTTTATGAGCTCAGATGTAAACACACTCTGTGGTTATTATTCACAGTTCTACATATCAATGGGGCACAAAGGCCACTAGGTGATGTAGTGAACTATTATAAAGAGTTACATAACAGCCAGACTGTAAGACGTGACCTCTAACTCCTCTGGAATGCACTATTACCCAAACGTTATGTAACCTGTTTTCAGGCAAGGGAGCTGACCTTGGCTCTCAGCACAATGCATGGTGCATTGCTGGAATGTGCCCTCTGGCAAATAATGTTTTAAGTAGCTAGGAGCCCTAGGGCCACACACCCTCCCAAAAGCTATTGTTCTGAACTATTTTCTCCTCCTATAACCACAAATACATGTACCAGTGGGTAGCAGTGTGTTATGTATGGTACTGAATTTTATACCAGTCTAACAATGCCATACCCCTAGAGCCACCACCCAGAACATTAGAACAACATTTGCAGAACCCTTTGGAGGCCATGGGTGTCTCCTTTAATAAGCAGAAGATTAATGCGTAATAATATGCATTAGCGCCTAGTATTATAACCCCCATATAAATTATAATGGACTTATGGAGGCTCCGGATACAGTCATGTGTCTGTGGCTGGTGAAGTGTTGGAGGTGCCTGCTGTTTATTCGATAAAAAACTTCCATGAATAACGAGAAATTAAAATTCGTGAGCTCCATCAATGGAATGTTTGACACGCCAGAAAACAAAAGTGTTCGGATTTTGCCATTTTATGAAAGAGTACATGTGTGACTAAAATGACGTTTTTATCAACATGTTGAGGTATAAAACAACGTGATGGTCAAGGAGGTTCTCTCTTACGTTTTGAAGGGTGGTGAGTGGTTCGTTCGACAAGAAGGTAAAGCTTTGGACAGGAGATGGGAAGCTGGTTCACATCATACAGTGCAGGTACATTTTAATTGCCTGTGTGAATTAGGATAATTAGCTACACCAGTCTATAGCACTATTGTTCAGTTACACGCATATCATGTGGCCACAAGAAAGTGATGACTATTGCTGAGTCACTGTTTTAGCCTTTTACGCGACAATTGCCTTGTTCAAAGCATGGTGGATATCATCGCAGAATAGCTGCAGTACTCTCTTTGCTGTGGTGTTTGTGCCGCGCCCACTAGCTCTTTTTCCTTGGTACTTTTTAATGCACACCACAATATCTGCATTAGACACGTAAAAACTGCATTACTCCGCTACAGTGGACAGAACACTCCAGAGCCAGCCTCAGTGAATGTTCATGCACGCACACAAGTTTATCTGTAGTACCACTGCTAGTACGAGGGTTCAGAGTGTAAGGTACAAGTGTTATCTTGTGTGCCAAACCAATAGTATTGTACTCCGCGGACTACATGTGGGACACTAGTTTCCTTGCTAATTGGCGCAAGTGACAATTTGGATAGTTAAATTACTGCTCCCTCTCCTCCACACAATGAATATGGTGCATGGGATACCTGCGTCTGATTAGCCGACTGAGAAACACTGTCCCAATCCTCTCGTGTTACCAGTTTGAAATTGACTGTAATGTTATACTGTCTGCAGAAATCCAGGTGTTAGGACCTGCAGGCTGCAGCTCATGTATCTTGCCGTGTTCTCTCCTCCTCCCTCTCACACTCTCCCTTTTCATCCTCGTCCTCCCCTCTCCTTCCTACCCCTGTCTCACCTTCCCTTCCTCCCACTCTCTCCCTTCTCCTTCTCCCCTCTCCTTCCTCCCCCTCTCTCTTCCTTCCTCTTCCCTCTCTCCCCTCTCCCTTCTCCTACCTCACCATCTCCAACCTCCCTTCAGTCTCCTTTTCCCTCATCCCCTCCAACATGTGTATACTTAATATTATCTCATGCACCCAACTTCGTAGTAACGCCATAATACGTATTATGCTCTCGGTGGAGTGAATATCCTCTCCATACTGTTGCAAAAGGAGATAGCAGCTGTTGCACGCAACACTCTGCACCCAAACATAATCTCCTGGCTCATCCAGTGTATATTTTTGTCCACATGCACACACACCCACACACACACACACACACACACACCCACATTCACACTCACACGCACACGCGCACACACACACAGTGACACTGTGACAGGGCTATGTTACGTGCCTCAGACCATGGTCCTGTGGGTGGCTGCAGGAACCCCTCTACCTCTGCTCTACGAGCCCAAATCTGGAGACAACGTGAGCACTGCATTTGGCACCAACTGAGGTCACTGCCTCTTTGCGGGAGTCACTAGCAAGACCATAATAATAACAGGGGCGCTACCTTCATCTTTTGTCCGTGTGATATTCATGCTGGGATGCATGCTTTTATGGTAACCAAGGAGGGGCGGTATGTTTATATTTGCTATCGTTTCTTGTGTGTCCGTGCACTCTGTGTACTTATTCAGAGCTTCTGTGGTCTCGGTGCACTATCTCTACAGCTGCTGTTTTTGCTACGACCCACTGTTATTGGTTATCCGGAAATTCATGTTGTTGAACAACCGTGTACTTTGGCCTGGCTTTAGATTCTGAAAATGACCTGTTGTTCTCAAAGGCTTATCAATACTCCTAGTACATGCTTAGGGTCATGCAATGTACACACACACAAGAGATACAAGTTCATACGCTTGAACTCGGGGCAGGTCTAATTAGCACGGAGTCGCACCCTCCTAATCAGAGTCAATTGGATGTATCATTTAGTACACCTGACACCTTGGTACATAGTATAATAATTACACTTGGTAATACAGCAGACCTCACTCAAGTTGGTATGGCATGTTCTGGTCCAATACTCGGAACATAGGATCGATTTCATGCGTGTAATTGAGAGGCATCTGTTGAATGTTGCCAAATTTATGCCGTTGTTTTGCACAGTGGCTGATAATATATATAATATACAATGCACAATTGTCTCTCACTCTTTCGATACACAGCATCTTGGGTTACCGCGCAAACAAAAAGCGTGTTTGGTACAATATTTGCTTGTAGGTGTCGGGTTCATTTGTATGTTGTACGTGTGTGTTACTACAGGTGACGGACTATGCCCCTATCTTGAATACCACCTCTGCCACGCTGCATACCAACAGGTGGGCACCAATTACACATTGTAGTATAATTATACCACAGATCACACGTGGTGCTTTTCTGGGAAAATGACATTTGCACTGTGTGGTTATGGAAGAGTAGCCTGATCTATTTTGGATTTTTTCATCGTAGGGAAAGCACGGTTCAACTGCTAAAGTACATCCCTGAGACCAGTGAAGTTATTGGTACGTATGTATGTACTTCTCTATGTACGTAACAGTATATAGTACACCAGAGTGTCGTAACTTAAGGGAAAAAACTCATGTTACACAGTCATACAAATTTCGCGGAAGAAAACCTTTGCAGGTACGTAGCTCCTAGAACGCAAATATCCCCATCCACAGCTACTACTCGCTGATGGCTCATAAGACGCGAAACTCAACGAATGATTTCTCCCTTGTTTCCCTCTGTACAGTACATTGGTGTCTGGGTGCAATGTCAGGTGCTCTCACACAAATAGTGTATTGGAGCAGTTTCTTGTTCGTGTATGGTAAAGGTTTAGGCTGACACTACAGTAGTCTCGTCCCCAGACCTCACCCCTCTGCGAGGGAAAGAGGGTCTGGCATCTTAAGTAGATTTTCTTGGCATTTTCGATGTTTACGTAATTCGAAAAATCACGTGCTTGCACACATGCGCCTTTATGAACCAAGCGAACAAACCCATGATCCACTTCAATGCAGCCCGAATGTCGCCAACACTCAAAATGAACCTGCTGCAATCTCCGTACCCCTCCAGATTCTTAAAACCCGGCTTACAGTGTGTACGTCGATTTTCAGGCAGCACTTTCTCTAAGACAGAGCTTGCAAAAGATACCAGGAGCGTCACAGCACCACTGCAACTACAGACGGCATCTCGGAAAGTGTTCTAGAATATGCTAAACTGGCTATCTCCAGCTCTACACTGCTAGCTGTATAAACCGTGTTCACTAGTCACACGTGTTTGTCATGTGAGTTTGAACAAAATCCTGCAATCTGATTGGACCCTCCCAAATCATTCTCCAGTGCCAAGAAGATCACTACAGCACATATCCCAGACTGCCTTTCGGGTGTGGGCGGGGCGGGCTGGGCGCTAGACTACACTAGGGGCAGGTTTAGAAGGGTCAGTCTGGTCTGTGTAGTGGGTCAATTTCAAGGGGATATACGTCTGTGGTAAAGAGGAATTTCACAGATCAAAAACGTTTGTGGAATGTTTTGTCCTGCCCAAAAGAGCTTGAGGGGATAAAGCCGGCTGCATGATTGATAACTCCTTAACTGTCAAACACAGGAAGCTAGCTTCTCCCTCCCTAATAGAAGAACCTAGAGGGTGTGGTTCTAAAATTCGCTCCCAACCTGTGCATGTATGACAACGTAAGAGGTACTGCATGTTGCGGTTGATACGGCAGTATATATAGTGTGAGTATGTCATTGTTCCTCCTCACTGCTCTGTGCCCCAGGCTCCACCAAGCTGAAGGGGGTCATCTGTTGGAGGTACAACCCCACCTGCTCTGTCTGCTGCCACCACTCCCCCTCCACCTCCTCTCATGTGGAGACCCTCACCTTCAGTGAGTCATATGTAGATATATTCTCTTCTAGAGTATAGGTTACTGGAAAAAATAACAACTTATAACCCAGATATGTATAATTATTATGAATTTTGCCACGCTGTTTTTAAACAACCTTCACTGCCAGATTACGTCTTTTTGCCTGGCGTCGTCGAAGTATTAACAATAATCGTTGTACCCAGGTTCTTTGCGGAGGAAGGGGGATGATGTACAATACTTGTCTTTAATTACAGGTGCACCCATATTTTGAATCTGCAGTAAAGTTTCAGTCAAATATGGCGAAATGTGACTTTTATTAGGGCACCCACTTTTTCTATGGAGGAGTGCTATGTATGTAGGTCATTTGCCATGTCTCTCTCCATGCAGCTTCCAAGGTGCCCATCCTCATATTCTCAGGTGGCTTCACCGGGGAAGTGGTGAAATGGGAGCAGCTTCAACTCAACTCATTCTTGTACAGGTATACCACAATAAATAGTTAAAATCTTCCTTCACATTGAATGTGTATTATATGATTATACTCCTGACTCAATTGCACTTACCGCTTACAGAAGGTATAATTGTGTATATACACCTCTGCTGCAGCCTACCCAACTTATATGTATGTATTTCAGATGGTAAAGTGTGGACCTGAGCTACCTTTACATTTCTCTCTCTTTGTGTGTCTGCTTGTCTGCTGTGTGGTGTCACAGTGTGGATAGCCTGAGCTACAAGGAGCCTCTCATGAAGGCAATAGAGTCAGAGGAAGATGACGGGGGAGGTGGTGGTGGTGGAGGGAGAGGGAGGGCGGGGAAGAGGAGAGGGAGTGAGGAAATGGCGGGCATGCCAAGAGAAAGGAAAATTGAAGCTATGAAGGTTGGTTGCCACGGTTCACAGGATATGATATTTCATCTAGTTGAGCAGTGTCTTTGATGTTTTCGTGGTTGTGTATACCTCTGGACAGGCTGTGCTACTAAGAAACAGAGCATTTCTGAGCTACATCTGTTTAAAACTCAAAATCTAGCTATCTGTGCTATTTCTTAACCCCTCATCCCTTCCTTCTTTTGCTGTGCTTTTCCTGGGATGCCATGATGACAATGCCTGTTACCCTTCTTTGGTATATAACATGATTTTTTCTCTGTTGTTAGAATCCCTCTCTCTCTTGTGTCTACTGCAGGGGGAGAACAGAGGGTTTGTGTCGAGTCTGTTTGTGGAGAGTCTGGATCTGCTGGTGGCCTCATCTCTGGATGGGACAATCTGTGAGTGGACCTGGGGGGTTAGGGTCAGAGGGTATACGTAGTGTAGAGAGTGCACATTATGGGTAATGCACTTTATTTGCACGTGTTGCATTATGAGTGCACATCAGCATTATGGGTAATGCACTTTACTCCATGAACTAATGGTAGCCCCAAGGTATAACTTCCTACGTATGACGTAGTGACCGAAGTTCAACTGTACACATGACAATATACTGCAAGGAACTAATTAATATAGGCTTCTGGACCCTTGTTTATGGCTAGTAGTAGAACTTGTACATAGTGTTGGCTTGTTCCCTGCTCGCCAATTGCGTGAAAACACTTTTTGAAAAGAGAACCGTTCTTTTAATTAAACCACCATATGCTGTGATTCAAACGTCTGATAGAGAACAGACTGTATAATTATTTTCATTTGCGAGCACACTTTAAAACTAGTTTATTGTCAGAAATTGGCAGCAGGTAAGTTGTTCAGGGAGAGGGAAGGAGGGTTGTAGGGAGGAAATGGATAATTAGGCTTGTTTGAGTCTGGTATGTGGCAGGGCAGGACAGGTGCACTGAAGCCCCGTGGAGCACTGTGTCCACTCAAATAGCAATTAATTAATGTCTGTGAACTGGACACACAAGATGGAGTGTAAGGTCTCTCACAGTGCCAACTACCTGCCGAGCTTGGTGTTCTGGTCAAATGTGAGCGGTGTAACTCTCCCTCCAGTTGTGTGGGGCAACGACAAGAGGACAGTGGAGGTCCTGGAGGAGATGCAGAGGAACTCTGCTTCAGAGACCAGCACCACTGACACTGTGGCTGGTGATAGGGAGTCCAGCAACCATGTACAGCAGGTCAGTAGTGGGAGGCAAGTAGCATTAATGGTGAATAATCCTATTGTCTATTCACCTTTTCCGAAAGTATATAGCTCATGTACTAATGTTCGTCTCGGAACCTGGGAGCCACAAGCTTGTGCTTGTGTCGGATTGGCAGTCGTGTGAGGGGCAGACTTTGCCCTGTTTGAGGCCAGTCGTTAGACTAGTAACATGTATGTTTTGTAGTAAATCCGTGCTATTGTGTACAACATCCTTGGTGGCTGGATCGAGTTAGGTGGTGAGCCTGTACTTGTATTTGTTGGATATCCCTAGGCAACGACATGTATGAAGCTAGGTACTGGGGGGATTGTATCAGCCTATACAATCCTACATGTGCAAGCAGGGTTCATACATGTCATTTGCCTAGGGATATCCAACAAATCTGTTGCAATACCCAGACAGGACAGCATTCGCCCTTACAGGGGCACTGCAACATATACATACATACCTGCGTAATGTTGTCCATACATCATCTAGTAGCATGGACACATGGGATTGGTATTTACTGGGGGAAAAAAAGGTTTGTTCATACCAGAGCTACTACAACATCAGTTAGGGGGGTCTTTAATCAAGGTTGAACTCTGTACATATTTGATTTGTAGTGGGTTCAAGGTGGGTGGGAGTGGGTGGGAATTGGCTTCCTAGCTTGGCTTTGTTCCTCACCTCTTACATAATCCAAGGTAAGAGGTTAGTGTGCATTACATAATGTTATGTAATCATGTTATTGTAGCCTCTTCATTACATAACATTATGTATTTCTCAGACGCAACATGTAACAAAATATGTGGAGGTGTACCCTAAAATGGTAGTGTACATTGTATAATATAAGGGTCAGCTGGTCAATTCATGCCTTCTCTGATTGTGTAACCTGACAGGCTCTTTTGATGGCTGGCCATTCTTCCACAGATGAGTGGTTCCACAAGGATCTCTGTGCTAATCTGTTTGCCTGCCTTTTGTCCCTTTCCACTGCTCATGTCATAGTCTGTGTGCTGTGCAGTGCAGTGTGCAGTGCTGGTTACATAACATAGTGTAATGCCCATGTTCCTAGGAACGAGAACTGTAAGATTATCTACTGGTACACATTCTCATTGCTTTTTGGACGTCAGCTAATTGACCATTCTGGCTACAACACTGTAACATTGCATAACTGCTTGGACGAAATTACATTAAGTTTGATAATTGTAGCACTGGGCATTTATGTAATACCAAGGCAGGTGAATGAGTAACAGTATTCTTGGCGCTGTCAAAGCCTCCCTAATTAAGTACCGAGCAACGTTGAATAATTAACACAAAAGTTTTAAGAAAGCCACTCGTGACCCCCCAACCCCAAGTAAGTGTTTGTAAAAGACTTGAGTATTATTTTTCACAAGACTAAGATACTATGAAAGCTGGAGTAGGTATTGACAGCCACTATTTTAACCCCTTACTCACTCCCTGCCAACACACACACACACACACACACATGATATGTACACCAGGAGTCGTCCAGCAATGTCATCACTCGAGTGGCTGGGTTCACATGCCTCCATGTTCTCCGGAGTCACACTGGCTGTGTTGAGGCTCTCGCTGCAGTGGAGGACTGGACTGATGGAAGAACATACCTGGTGAGATCATCATCTCATTCCTCTCAGTCCTCTCTCCATTACAAACCCATTTTGCAAGTGCAGTTGGTTGTGTTTGTTCCTGCACTTAATAAACAGTAAGTTTGCTAGAGATTCTTGTGGCTAGGCGCTATGGTATATAGCAATGCATGATCGATTGCTTCCATACAGCCAACTGCCTTTTTACGCTGTTGAAACGTGTCCTCCTGTCTTTTCCCATTTATCCCAATGCTGATTACAAATTCAGAGTGTATATATATAATATTTGCAACATCACGACTTTAAAATGCTCATGAGGTTCTTGTTTTACCCGCTTTATAGGACAATATTATTAGCAATTCCTATTCATTGTACGTACTAGATATCTGGAGGCTGGGATCTGACTCTTAATTTGTGGGACCTCTCCACTGGCAGGTAATGTTGATTTGACCCAGTAGTGTATTTCGTTTCACAATGCACAAAACTGGTTAGCTCTAAACATGTACACGTTTGTGTCACAGAGGGGTCACAGAGGATAGTGTTTCAGTATAGGTCCTGAGAATGCTAGAATAGAGAAGGTAATGTTGAGCTTTGAACTCAATAAGTCATCAGGTGTCCTACTATGAAGGTATATACCCTATTTGTAAACATGACCTTTACACTTTCACCGTAATAATTATGATGATGACTTGCAATTCCCCAATAAACGCAGAGTATCTTAGCACGAGGTATTCATTTGTACATCGTCCTCTGGCTTGTGTTGTACGTATGTCCATACTGTTTTCGCACTACTTGTGCAGTACTCACCACAACTGGAGGGGCTGTGTGTGTCTTCAGTATTAGGCTGCATGTGTCCAAAGGCACAGTAAACAAATCAACTAAACCCAGGACAGCTTTTTTTATCAGAAGAGATGCCCTGGGTGGGATTCGAACCAACGACACCCTGGACCCTGCTCTCCACACCAGTCTAGGTGAGCGCTCTACCAACTGAGCTACCAGGGCAACTCAGCTGGTAGGGGTTAAAATCAAATCAGAGATCAAAATATTTTATGTGGGGATAGGGCAAACAGTCCTTACCTTTTTACTTGCAGATTGTGTTCTCTCGCCAAAAATGGAGTGCCCTTTTTATTTCTGTTTTATCACCTTCTTCTACACAGGCTAGTGGGTAGTCTAGGGGAGAGTGTCCCTGATCGTTACCCGTCCCACCCCAACCTTATCATCACCTCCCTGGCCTTCAGTCCTCCCAGGTCAGTCTGTTCTGTACCGTACCAGACTCTGTATTGTAATGTGGGTTTATTTGGATGGGCCTACTTATACTATAGCGAGAGTTTGGCATACCATACCACGGAGCTATTGTCCACCTGGCCTTGTATTGTACCAATAAGCTGTAGAATAAGGTCTAACTTTCCTTTACGTAGTCGCCTGAGTATTCTGCTGCTTGAACCAGTTCCCTGTTTGCCTGGCTGACATACTTACTTCGACATACAAAAACAACACCTGACTGTAGCTAATGGTGCAGTCTAATTGAGTGCTGGCAATAATTATGTGGGTTCAAGCAGCATAATTTCTGTTGCATAGCTTTTTCCGTGCTGCCCTCTCTTGCCCTCCTTTGTCACTGTACTTGCCACACGCTTCTATCTTCCATAGTTTATATGCCCGTTAATAAAACTGTGCGATTGGAGATGTCAAATAATATGGTGGCATTTTGCCTCTGCAGGAGAAAATTTGCCTACTCTACATCGGATGGCCAGGTGTTTGTGAGGCAGTTTGCAGTCAGCCCCGACGACTGGGTCCTGGTGAGGACACTGGATGGACACACTGCTGAGGTCACACAGGTCAGCCATGGGTCAATATATTGGTGTGCAAACAGCATGTATTGCTTGAGCCATGACACAGCTACATGCAAGAAATAAAGTACGAGGTTTTAGCCGTGTCCACACATGAGTCTCAGCAGTTGCTACAGCTATGCCCAGGGAAGGGGTTTACACCCTACTCACAGTCACATGTCAACAGCAACGAGGTTACGAGGCAAAGCAAAGACAAAACAACACGACTGCGTTGACCCAAAGAGCTGCCCTGGGTGAGAGTCAAACCCACAACACTCTGCAATGCAGGCAGATAGGCCTCGAGCTACCAGGGCAGCTCAGCGGGCAGTGGCTCAATCAAAGGCAAACCTCACACTGCTAGGGCGCAGTAAACTCATCGCAGTAGGAGCAGCTAATAATCAATGGCCAACTCCAAACGCATGTTCACCTACATTTTTGTACCCTATATATATTAAATAGTGCGATGTTGCACAGAGCTCCAATTTTGAGAAAACGCTATCCTGGAATCACTGTGTACGTGACTGTTACCGTGTCTGCAGGTGTGCTGGAATGGAGTGAGCGGTCACTGGGTCACAGGGTCATCTGACTGCACTCTCAGACTCTGGGTCAGTAGGACGCTGCCAGCTGTGTGTCGGGTCCTCTCTTGTTCAGTCATTCAATTAGCAACCTTTGTATAGCCCTGTGGCAACCCCCGGTAATTGAGGACAGCCCCGAACCTAGTTAATAGGGGGATTTGACTGTAACTCTAGCTAGTTGTATATAGCAGTGCCCAGACAGGACAGCATGAGCCCTGTAAGGGCGAATGCTGTTCTGTCTGGGTACTGCAACAGATTTGTTGGATATCCCTAGGCAAATGACATGTATGAACCCTGCTTGCACAATGTAGGATCGTATAAGCTGATACAACCCCCCAGTATATACCTAGCTTCATACATGTCGGTTGCCTATATAGGGATATCCAACAAATACTTGTAGTGCCTCCTGTTTAGTATTTCACTTAGTATTAACGAGGTTACAGTGCACGTATGAACATACCATAGTCATGTGCATGCTGTGCTCAGGTGCAAGTGTGTGTGTGACAATTCCACAGTAATTACTAGCATAGCCCACCACCATCTGTTGAAACAGGTGATCTGATAGCTAAGCACTGACTATGAATTTGACCTCAGCGACCTGTATTGTTCGGGTGGGGTGTGGAATTGTCTGGATGACAGGCATATGGATTTCCATGACAATGTGAATAATGTCTGTGGATATGCCCTGGGCGAGGAAATAGATCTTGCATTATAACATAGAGTGTTTATTTCACCAGCTGAACTCAGTTTCAGATGTGTAGAGTAACTTGTAATTCTAGACTAATGAGACGTGTGTTACAGACGGCACAGTTCAGCCTTTCCCTCCTGCTACATAGACTTGTTCCCACCCTCCTCCACATAATCATGCCCTCAGAGGAGGTTGGATATGGTGTACGTGACAAAGAACACTCTCTCATTTATATAAGAAAACCTGTTTTTCAAGTAAGGGTATAAACTGAAGAAACCCATGAGGACACAGGATGGGGAGGTTAGAGGAGGAGGAAGAGGATAGAGAGAGTAAAAGGAGGGGATAATCGGAGAATGAAGCCATGACAGATGAGGGTGGACAGAGCCATGTGATACAGCATTTAACTATCCATGCCGTAATAATATTTTTGATGGAGATATTGCGCCCCATACCCTGTTAACATGAGTATAAGCCAAATGGTGCAGGCAGTTATAATTATTAGCCCTGTAAACATCCACAGTGGGCCCCCTATTTTAGATGGTGTGTACAAGAGAGCTTGAGCCAGCATAATACCTCAAAACAACAGACACTGGACCTTCTAGTCCCCTTAAACACTCTCTCAGAAACCCATATCATAATGTATGGGGAATGTGGCGGAAATTTCCTAAATGTGCAGGAATTTCAAGCAAAATGTAGGAAATTTCCAGCACAACTTGCTCATGTGCAGGAAGAATATGAGGAAGCTTTAAATTCTTCCCGCACATGTCAAAAAGATTGTGATTTTGCAGGAATATTTCCTACACGTTTTCATTTCTACCTGAAATCCTTCCTTCACTTTTCACAATTCTTCCTACACATTTTCCTTCACTTTTCTGAATGTGCAGGAAGCATGCTTCTAGCACTTTTCCATGTGCAGGAAGTTGTTTTTAGTGACATGGCCCTTTATTATTCTCCCCATCTTCCAATTCCCTCTCACCTCACTATCCTCTCTTCTTCTCCCAGGTCGGCCAGAAGAAGGAGAAAAAAGATAAAAAGGAAGAGGAGAAGGAGGAGATGGAGAAGGAAGAAGAAGAAGAAGAAGAGGAGGGGGAGGAGATGTGTGTGTCAGCGGGTGATCCAATCTCAGTGGTCTGTGTGGACCAAACCACCGGCCACATTGTGGCTGGAGCACAGAACAACCTGAAGTACGTACATGTATCTCTTGTCTCTAGTGTAGTCTTCTCCCCCTCTGCAGGGTGTATAACAGAGACCTGGAGCTCCTGCAGGTCAGTAGAGGTCACACTGACTCCATCAGGACACTCATTCACATTCCTGACAGAAAACAGGTACAGTACACTTATTGGCACGCACTTGAGGCTACATACAGTAGGTTACAAAGCTCTTAGTCATCTCTCCAATGAGTTTGAAGCGAGACTACCAGTATGCCTCTTTAGTTAACATTTCCTAGCTACATATACATGGATACTGTGTCTAGTGAGAGAGAGAGGGACTGACCCTGGTGTTATCTATCCCCCTGACCACTGCTGCAGTATGTCACAGCCAGCTGGGATGGGACTGTGAGGTTCTGGAGAGCTCACCACTAGCACCTGCTACACCTACCACTGCCTTTACAATGGAGATCACTTAGAGAAATATGACTGTTTCCCCAAACTATACTGCGGTCTGTAACACCTTAGTTCAATCTTCACTTTTTAGTGGTTTTTATACATTTTGGTACAGAGTTTTTATTTCTTGAATAATATGTAAAATTGTGAGCTCGACTCCTGTGGACCAATGGGGAATAGTGAGCTTGCAAGACTTGCTAGCTATTGTTATTACCCTCGGCGCGCATGCGCAGCGATGGTTACTGTAGTCGTTCTGTACTGTGTGTCTGTCTGTCTGTCTACGACTATTCTCGCACTACAGGCTACGAGGCGGCTTATGAGCGATACTAACAGCTTTTTTTAGCGGTATATACACATGGGCTATAAAAAATTAATATAAATGGTGATTTTGCTGAAACGACTGCGTTCGAGAGCGAATAAATCGCGCCGTTTGGACCACTAGCTCCCGCTCGCCAATTATATATACGCATGACTGTTGACATTCTCTCGCAACATGCGTGTCTAGGAGAGGCCTACGTACTCTGAAGGCTCGCTTTTCTCACTCTCTCACTGCCTTCAGTCTTGCTCCAGGACTGACAGAGGTTGTGGAGTTTGGAGGGACTTCCGAACCATCCACTGGATCTGAAAACACTCAACCTAAAATAGCAGACACAACTCTGCTCCAGTTCAGTGAGGATAAACACACCCTAAACAGCTCAGGCAAACCGTAGCTACTGATCACACATAAAACCTCTATAGAAAATGCCAATTATAACATAAAATACTCTTATTCAGGACTAGTAGAAAGCTCTGGACAGTCCCAATGGGAGCTACTCTCTGTAGTTGGCAACACACAACATGGATCACAAAAGAGAATGATTGAGAAATTCCGCTACACAGCAGAGAGCTGGCAGCAATCCACAGGAGAGGGTGAGACGGCGGGAATGGAGAGTGTAACGAGCTCGTGGAAGTCTATCGGGCGCTTGCAGCTTGGCCAAGAGGTGTATTAGGTTGATCAGCAATGGCGACTACACTCATTCACATTCCTGACAGAAAACAGGTACATAATATGTCAAAGGAGAGCTCACCACTAGCACCTGCCACACCTACCACTGCCTTTACAATGGAGATCACTTAGAGAAATAATATGACTGTTTCCCCAAAAGTATACTGGGGGCTATATATAACACCTTAGTTCAATCTTCACTTTTTATACATTTTGGTACAGAGTTTATATTTCTTGAATAATATGTAAAATTGTGAGCTCGACTCCTGTGGACCAATGGAGAATAGTGAGCTTTGGCCGGTAGCTAGCTATTGTTATTACCCTCGGCGCGCATGCGCAGCGATGGTTACTGTAGTCGTTCTGTGCTGTGTGTCTGTCTGTCTGTCTACGACTATTCTCGCACTACAGGCTACGAGGCAGCTTATGAGCGATACCAACAACTTTAGCGGTATATACACATGGGCTAGAAAAATAAAATGGCGATTTTGCTGAAACGACTGCGTTCGAGAGCGATAAATCCCGCCACTAGGTTAGCCCGCTCCCGCTGCTATACGCATGACTGTTGACATTCTCTCGCAACATGCGTTTCTAGGAGAGGCCTACTCTGAAGGCTCGCTGGGCTCACTCTCTCACTGCCTTCAGTCTGGCTCCAGGACTGACAGAGGTTGTGGAGTTTGGAGGGACTTCTGAGCAGTGGGACTGGATCTAATGAGACTCAACCTAAAATAGCAGACACAACTCTGCTCCAGTTCAGTGAGGATAAACACACCCTAAACAGCTCAGGCAAACTGTAGCTACTGATCACACATAAAACCTCTATATAAAATGCCAATTATAACATAGAATAATCTTATTCAGGACTAGTGGAAAGCTCTGGACAGTCTCAATGGAGCTACTCTCTGTAGTGGCAACACGCAACGTGGATCACAAAGAGAGAATGATTGAGAATTCCGCTACACAGCAGAGAGCTGGCAGCAATCCACAGGAGATAGAGATGAGAAGACAACTGGAGAGGGAGAGGGACAGAGCAGGAGAGAAGGAGAGGGAAAGAAGAGGGTAAGGGGTGTTGGAGAAGGGAGGGAGAGGGTGAGGGTGGAGCTGCAGCGATGTCAAGCAAGAGCCAACCAGCTGCAGGAGAGGCTGGAGGAGGTTGAGAGGAGGGAACACGAGAAGGTGGTGGTTCAAGAGCAAGCCATTGCAGCCGAGCAGCGTGGTCCGTCATGGGAAGTGAAGGAAGACGAGTTGGAGGAAACAGAGGAACTCTCGGAAATCGGAGGTGGGCTGTGGTGAAAGTGGCCAAACTCAAAGTGGCCCAGCAAATGTCTGCACGCCAGTGATCTACGACTACCACCGTATCTGTTTCAGACGAGAAATGGACGTAGCAGCCAGAGTCAGCCACCCCAACTTGCTGCGTTTCCTCGAGCCAGACTGGAGAGGACATGGCCATTCTGACAGAGTTCATGCCGACTAGTCTCAGAGCTCTGGTCAACAGTTGTTTACGTCGCACGACAACGTCTTCACTCTGCAACACGTCCTCCCTCTCCACGAAAATTGACGGTGACCAGTGCCCTAACTCACCTCCTACAACATTGATTGATTTGTCGTCGTCTGTTGGGAAAAATTAAAACCAAAAAAATTCTAAACCGGCGACACGGGGTTGGGAGCGGATGCGCAGACGATGTAGTTCTCTTGGCAACTCTTGCTGTCTGGCAGAAACAATTTTGTCGTTATGGTTGAGATGGTGTGTGGGTTGTATGTGCATAATTCCGTTTGTTCTGCTGATGTGCTTACTTGCAGGCACAATATGGAGACAGCTAGACAGGAGTGTTGTGCCACAAGATTATGTGGAACCAATGTCCATGGAAATAGAGCGTGAAGGAACAGAAAGCAGCTTCTATTTGTCGGAGAGGACTGATAGTACATGTTTAGTGTAGCCTAGCGTTTTTTTTCCCACTCTGATTTTCCCCTCACAGATTACGTTGTTTTTGCACAGCCTGAGTGTGCTTTTTCCCCCTGAGAACTTTGATAGAAGGTGCTCTACAATAATCCCTAAATCAATCTATGTGTATGGCTGTGCGTTGCTCGGTCTGGGTTAGTGTTGTTGTAAATCGATTGTATTCTGCTGCAGCTCTCCGCAGTTCCACGGCCTCACATGCAATGTGAATGCATCCAAATAGTGTGTTTTGCCAACATTATTGGTGATGCGGTGAGCGAGCCAACGTAGTCGTGGCGTTCGAGGGTAATTGTCTGTATAATTTGGCGAGCAGGAGCTGAGCTAATCTAGT